ATTTCTTTTATTTGTGTTACTTACTTATTTGATTTGGGGCTTGTTTTAAAATTTAAATTTAGTTTTATTTACATTCACATTATATTTAAATTGTTATTTAGCAAACGCTTTTATCCAAAGCGACTAACAAATGAGGACAATAGTAGCAATCAAAACCAACAAAAGCGCAATAATTTACAAGTGCTATATTAGTATATTATTATAGTGTCATATTTCAATTTCACAAAGAAACGTACAGTATTTAGTCCAAGCAATAATAAAAGGACACATTTAATTTAAAATTTGTCTTAAATCTCATTGTTAAAAAAAAAAATCGTGAATCGAATCATGAAATCAAAATCGTGAATCGTATCGCGAGTTGAGTGAATTGTTACATCCCTACAATTCACCATATAATCGTTTATGACAATCACTTAGCCAAAAGATTAATGTAATAGTTTTTCTAAAAATGTATGATACCTTCAAGTATTAAAATGCATTATATTTACAATGAATTCTATAAAATTGTATTATAGTGTAAATTAATTTATCATACACTTTCAGCAATTCCCTTTCATTTATACATTGTATATATTTTCAAATTAATATTTAAGGGATATTTAATATGTCAGTGTCACGTTTACTTCTGTATGTGTGTGTTTGATTACATTATTTGCACATAATTTATGTGATAGCCAATATAAAGTTTGGGCCCTAAATCAACCCCAGTTTGACCACTGCATAAGACTCTTAACATGACAGTAATGATTCACAGCTCACCTTCGGTCACTGCTGCTGTGTCTCTCAAACTCCCTCTTTCCCCTCTGGTCAAATCCATCACTAGATCTTGGATATCCTGGGCCTCGGGCTCCTCGTCCTCTTCCTGTACCTCTTCCTCTGACAGGCCTGTCCAGCACATCCACAGGCCTACACACAGATGAAGACAGATCGAGTGGCATGCAAAATAAATTCAGGAAGATGAATAAAAAATAAAGACATTTATTAACACGTAATTAGAGTCACTTACCTCTCAACAGAGAAACTGAGGGGGGTGTCGGCGTCGCTGAATTTGCGCTCAGAAGTCATGCGTCTCTCTATTCGCTCCTCAACTTCTCCACGAGCAAGACGGACTTGGCCTAGAAATTTGGACCGAATACACAACACAAACAAAACGTAAACACTTTAAACGCTTAAAACCTCAGCAACCAGGGTACCTTACATTTAGACTCATAATATCTTCCAGGGGTTAATTAAATTCGTCTATAATTTATTAAAAGAAATGCTTGCGTCGAATAAAATTAGCCCGTCCTTCACATACCTTGTTCACCCCCATCTACTGGAAGAACGATTTTCCGGTCCCTTTGAGACTCTTTCTTTCCAGTCGTGGTTGAGGTTTTCTTTGGCTCCTCTTTCTTCTTCTTCTGTTTCTTTTCCACCCCTGCCGCGTATAAGATGTCGAAAGGGTCGGATTCATCGTCCAGCAGTCGGCCGAAACGATTAGCAACGGCGCATCCATATCCTTCATCAGGCATCTCCTCTACTAACTCCTTCATTTTTATCGATTACCGCAAGGGAAATGAAATAATCGAGTTGCTCTCATCGAAGGACTACAAACACAGCAGAACTAAACTCTGTTTATCTCCTAAAGAGAAAAAATGGAGGCGTTAAACTTTGCCCAAAGATTGAAATCTAGTTTGTGAGCACAAATTAACGTAGCAGTCAGATGTGACGTTCAGTTAATTGAATTCAGGTTCATATGTAAGCAATTAGTCTCCGCCCCGGAAGTCAACTTAGTTTCCAGAACGTGCTCATTAATATTAATTACACACGTTCGACTATTATTTGCTGTCATATTATTGAATATACCTGGTGGATTTTTTCCGGTCTATTTTATTGCCAATTTTTGTGACTGTAAATGTGAACCAGACTAAAACTATGAATCTATTATCATTCTGCTATAAAGTAGGTACAATTTCTGATTATACCTTCATGCTTCTGCAGATATGTATGACTTTGTTTCATATACTACCAATATACTACTCATACAAAAATATTCATAATAAAGCAGTCTGATACGCAAAAAAAACTTTTTTTTTTTCAAAGGTTTTGTGAAATGAATTAGATCATGCAAACTTTAGATAACCAAAGAATGTTTTTAAGGATGTTTAAAGTTATTACAAAGTAGAAATTAAATGTAATATATATATATATATATATTGTTGAATTTACTTGCAGTAACCAGCCTGTGAAGCACGCACAGGATTGTGGGACATCACAGACACCAAAAAATACAATTTAAACATGACTATTAATAATTCAATGAAAATGGTTTAAAATATATTTAATGGGGAAAAAAAGACAGAAGTACTTCTTCATGATGTTTTTATTGCCGTCACACACAAGCATTGATTCCCAGTCTAGGTTTGAAAATATAATTGTTTACACAATTAAAAATACAGAAGCATACAAACTCTTAATTCATTCAGCTTGCCAAATAAGACTACAGATCATTAGCTATGAACATAATGCTATGCATTGCAGAAACTATTTCAAACAGCCCTGAAAAAAAGATGCAGTGTTTAATTCAGTGTAACCTTTGGTCTTGCAAATATGTAAGAATTTACATGGCGTATTTACATTTATGTTGTTTAAGATTTCTATGATCCACAAACTTCTTCCCACAGCTCTCACAACTAAACGACTTCAGACCGGTGTGCACTCGCTGATGGGTCCTCAGATGCACAGCCTGATTGAACGTCTTACCACAAACATCACAACCAAAAGGTCTCTCCCCCGTATGGATTCTCATGTGCATCTGAATACTGCTGGAATACCCAAACCTCTTTCCACAAACCTCGCAACGATACGGCTTTTCCTTCGTGTGAACCCTCTGGTGTACTGTAAGGGCGGCTTGTGAGTAGAACTTCTTTTGACAATGATCGCAACTGAACTTCTTCAACAAAGGACTGACCAGTCGCTCGTGATGCTTCTCTCCTGTATGTACAAGCATGTGCTGATTAAGAGAACTGGGGAATATGAAGGCCTTATTACAGATCGAACACACACAATCCCTTCTTCCTGCGTGAATGATTCGCTTGTGCCTTTTCATGTAGTCTGAACTGGTAAATCCCTTACCGCAAACGTCGCAAAGAAACGGTTTGCTTGAAGTGTGTTTGTGCATGTGCATCTTCAGGGCGTACGCTGTGGTGTACCTTTTCAAACATATCGGACAGCCGTACAGCTTCACTCCTGTGTGACCGGCTTTGTGCCTGTTGAGGTTTCCAGAGGTGGCGAACTTCTTATCGCATACGTCGCAAGCGTATCGCTTTTCCCTTGTGTGCACGAGCATATGCGCTTGTAAATGTTTGCGAGCGCTGAACCGCTTGTCGCAGAGTTCGCACGGATAGTCGAAGGTTTTCTCGATGTGACTCTTCTGGTGATTTTTCAAATATCGCTCGCAGCTATAAAAAGCTCCACATATCTCGCAACAGTAGGGCTTCTCGCCGTTGTGCAGTGTTTGGTGGTCAAGCATGTTTTGTTTTATTTTGAACTGCTTGTCACATACGGGACAGTTGTAGAGCGTTTCGACTGCTTTGCATCTGTGTCTGCCGAACGAACGCTTGCCGGGAAAAACCTTCTGACAGTTTGGACAAGTAACCGTCTTTTCTGCCGTATGAAGACGCTTGTGCTTTTCAAGGGAGGCCTGAAATACAAAAGACTTGGAACATATATCACATTTGAATAGCTGAGCTCCAGTGTGCATCGCTGCGTGTCTGATGAGGCAGCTTCTCATAGTAAAGCGCTTATCGCAGTGCGAACATTTGTAATGTTTCACATGAGCCCGAACGTGGTTAATGAACTTCCACCTCAGTTCAAAACACTTCCCGCATGTTTTGCATCGGAACAAACCATCTTTCGACTGCTTTATCATATCCGTGTTAGGTGTGGTGTTGGGCTGGTTGTCGGTGTTTTCGATGGTAATATTTAAACCTTGCACAAATGATTCGGTCGCATACTGACTGCTTTCCAAAACAGCACAAGATACGTCTTCGTTGTCCAAGTTACTTTGGAGAATTTCTGTGAGGGGAAGAACACAGTGTTTAAGAGAAACAGACTGAAAAATGTAATTAAAACAATTAAAATAAAGATAATAGTCATTATGGGTGCACCCAGTAATTTTTCACTCATTGCATTTTACATAAATTAACAATAAAAAAAGACTGTTTTAAAATAAATATTAAAATCATGTACATGACAGTTTTACATACACTACTATTTACAGTGCGTTTTTTATTATTTATTTTTAATTTATACTTTTATTAAATAAAACCACATGAAATTGGCCAGATAAAGTGGAAATTAATACATTAATAATGCTACAAGAGAATCTATTTTAAATAAATGCTGTTTTGTTAACTTTCTATTCACCAAAACTCCTGAAAACAATCTATCAGTTTTCAAAAAAGTATTGAGCAGCACAACCATTCCTAACATCATAAAAAATGAAAACATTCCTTACACCAAATCAGCATACTAGAATGATTTCTAAAGGATCATGTGACACTGAAGACTGGAGTAATGGCTGCTGAAAATTTAGCTTTGCCGTGACAGGAATAAACAATTTAAAATTGAAATTAAAAAGTAATTAAAAAATTGAAAATTAAATTGTAATAATATTTCAGTTTTTACAGTATTTTTGATCACATAAATGCAGCTTTGGTGGGCATAACATTTAAAGGGGTCATATGATGCTGCTAAAAAGAGGATTTGAGACTTTAGTCTTTGCAACTTAACAGATCTTCTTTATGCACCAAGAGCTTGTAACACTTCAAAGAGAAAGGAAAAATTTAAATCGCATCATATGACCCCTTTAAAAAAAATTACAGACCCCAAACGTTTCAATGGTTATAATTATTTATTCAGTATTTCTAATAAAAAACTATTTATTTTGCTACTCTTGACATAAATTAATCAATCAAGATACTGCATTTACACTGATTTGTGCCAGTATACAGTCCAAGATGGCTACCATATTGTACAGAGAAACATATTTCTAAACAAACCTTTAAGCACTGCATTTGAAATCATGCCTTACCTTGTGTAGTGACCTCTAGTGTTTCCAGGGATGTATTGACAGTATCACAGGTTTCGAGCTGCACAATGAATTCTTCTTCATTCAGAGTGGCTTCGAACTCAATACTCAAATCTGGAGTCGTGTGAAATCTCTGGTGTTTCATCAAGCATTTCATCATTTTGAAAGTATTCCCACATGTCAAACAATTGAAAGGTCTGTCTTTGTGTAAAGCACTGTGAATGTTTAACAGGGCCATTTCATTGAAAGATACTCCACAGGACTCACAAATTAATGGCTCCGGTCTCTCCTCAGCAGCTACATTTGTGCTTGTGGAAGGCTGGCTTTCACTCAAACTTAAACTGCTTGCCAGAATATCAGTGGGTGCAGATGACAGCTGATGGTACTGAGTATTTGCTGCTTGTACAGAGTTTTCATGATGTTCAGATTCCATTTCATAATCCTTGTTCTGTTCAGGCTCAAGAAGCACATTATTTTCTGGCTCAGATGCGGCTGCTTGACCCTCTGTGAGAATATAATGAGAAGAAAAAATGTTTTGTTTGTGTTTGTTTTTAAATATCATACTAAAAATCTTAAATTCATAATATAAACAAATACACAATATTTTATAATGATAATAATAATAATAAGGAATAAACTGAAGTTCTCTAAATGTAAAGGTATATGGAGTAAACAATGAGTTGTATTAGCAACAGTTCAAAGTTTAAAAATACAACTTTGATCTGATCTCCATTACTTTTTAATTCATTTTACGAAAGAAAGAAAGAAAGAACTGTATTTTCTGATCAGGCTGCTCATTATTTTGTCTTGTTTTCCAATGCAAATGTCTACAGATACATTAATTGAGCAGGAAAATGGCATAAGTCTTGTTTTCTGTGAAATTGATGAGAATGAAGTGAGTATATTATTTAGAGAAGAATAAATATCTTCCAATGGGCTCAGAAAAACAACTTAATTAGAAGGGAAAACAAGTTTTCATATACAGCATTGACAGATATTTGTTTTAATCATAAACTCACATAATTCTGATACATTTTCTAAGACCTTATTTTACATTTGCATCTCAAGTAGCCTAAATGTTTCAGAAATTTCTATTGGCAAATAAAATTGAGGAATATTATTTTTTGCAATGCATTTAATTAAAAACATTAAATGACACAATTTTACGAATTTAAGACTTTCTGCTCTGATTTGAAACCTTTTTAAGGCTTGTTAAAGACCAGAAGAAACCCTGTATGAATGATCATCAAACTAGACCAAAATATTTAATACAACTTACTTAAACGGATAGTTCACCAAAAAATATATATATATTTCTGTCATTATTTACTCACCTGTTCCAAACTGTATGAGTTTCCTTCTTCTGTTGAACATAAAAGCAGATATTTTGAAGAATGTTGATAATCAAACAGTTGCTGGTTCCCATTGACACCCACAGTATGGAAAAAAACACCAAGAAAGCCAATGGGGACCAAAAACTGTTTGGTTACCCACATTATTCAAAATACCTTCTTTTGTGCTCAGCAGAAGAAAGAAACTCATACAGGTTTGGAACAAATTTAGGGTGAGTAAATGATGACAGAATTGTCATTTTTAGGTGAACTATCCCTTTAACAAAATATACGTGTACAGCCAAGACATACACCAAATATTTGAGTGATTGCTCAGGTTTGTATTCAAGTTGGTGATTAAGCATAAAGATGTACCATTTAGCTTATCTTGTTTTGAGAGCTGAGACTTTGCTGTAGCGTCCAGTACTTGAGCTGAGACGTGATCATGAATCAGTTTAACCATCGTCTCTACTGTGGCTTTACTCAACAGCTCCATGAAATCAGCAAACTCCTTCTGAAACACAAAAGAGATAAAGATATCGCCTATTACAATTTCCTGTGTGTCAAAAATAGGTTTGATTACAACCAAATTCACTTACATTGTCTTAATAATCTTGTGTTCTATCAGAATTTAAGACTTACAATCATTACTCTGTAGGCACTAAAATTGGACTTCTTCAGACAACATATGACAAGTTATCTGCACTAATAGTGTTTTACAGATTCCTAAAGAACTGCAATGCTGTCTTTTGTTCTCAATGTTCTGACTAAAACAAGAACAAAGGACAAACATGTTTAGAGGCATTCAACTGTTTGAGTGTGATCTCCTGCTCCCATTTCCTCACAAAATGTGAATTACCAATCACTCAGAATGAGTTAACACTGACAGATATGAAATACTATATAAATCGCCAACTCTAGCATTCGCTTGAATGAATGAGGCTACTATCAGCCAGCTACTATCAGGAGGAAAATAATGTTAAAATGGCAAACAATTTCTTTACAATTGCTGGAGATGACAATTGTCATGATTGTTGTGACACAAAATTTTTTATCTTGACGAACACATACAGCAAGGTCTTTTTTTGTTGAGACACAGCTGTTTCATAAAGTTCATGAACAAAGTATATAATAAATAAAAAAAATCTCATCCTAATGTCAGAACTGAGTAGTTTTGTTTCTTTACATGAGACATATTCACATGTCTTTCATATGTCAAAAACTACTTAGATTTGAGTCGAAAACGTAATGATCTCTGGTTATGGAAATGCTAAAGTTGTGGGCCATGTTTCTGTAAGAATCAATGCGAACTGACTTCAAAAACAAATGGGAATCTAAAATAACGTTACAAAAAACATGGATAACCACCATTTAATCAACAACAGCTTATTGGGAAACAGAAGGCGGTTACAGGGTTAGCAGGTTCATTATATTTATAATATAATTACATTCAATATGGACTTCTAAATATATTCTTTACACTGTGCACTCAAGGCAGTTATAAATACCATTTAAACAACTGTCAACAAACATTCAGAAGCGTGTTATGAACAGGAATGGACACGCATTCTTTCCTCTACGTTACTCTAGAACTTACAGTTTTGGCTTGATTCGCCTGTTTAAGTCTGTTTTTGTTCACAGCAGCCCCCTTGTTGCGCTTCCACTCCTCAGATAAGACAGTCGTGAAGTCAGAGAGATGTTTGCTCAACTCCGACACGACACTTTCAACTAACACCCCCATAACGGAGGACAGTAACTCGTGAATTACTGCCGTCATGCTCAGGGATGATTACTCGGCACCTTCCTCCCAAAAATATGCTTACTATCTCATTACATACAAACTTGCAGGTTAAAAAGTACACTAGCTAGCCATTCGCTTGTTTGTGGCGGGTGAACAAACGGAAGGAATTTTTTCAATAACAAAAATTTCGAATGCAGTGTGTTTTGTTAAAGCAGTACTGCCACCTAGAGGTTTGGAGTGATTAGTACTTCCTGCGCCACTTGTAAACGGAGGGGATTTACTTATTTTTAGGTCAAAGGTCTGTTTTTAATGCTTCTGTACTGGAAGTATAAAGAATCTAAATGGATGACCATGTTAAAGAGATAAATACTACTTTTACAATTTTGTAAGTTCAAGCTGTAAATGAATGTCATTTTGTTCCATTGTGCGATATATAGAGGCAAAGCTCAATTATCTGTAGCCTCTGCCTCAGCTCCTTGGCTCTCAGGTTGAGGGCTCTGAGGAACAGGACTTTTCACAGCAGGAGTGTATGTAATGGGAATCACTCTCTCGTTGCTCACAGCATTGGCTTCTTTGGGTGCTTGTATCTGTAGCTGGCCATTATTTAAAGAGCAGGTCACCATCTCAGGATTCACACCTTCAGGAAGGTCAAACTCCTGCCTGAATTCTTGGCATCTGAACGAGAACGATCCTTTCCCGTCGTCTTGCTTCTTCTCTGTCTTGCCGCTCACCCGCAACTTCCTGCCCACTTGTTTGACAGACAGCTCCTCCGGAGTGAAATCCTTTGTATCTAGTGTCAGTGCATATTGGCTTCCTTCCTTTCCGAGCTGGAATGAGATGGGTTTGAAAGTCGTCATGGGTGAAACATGGTCAATCTCGTCGAAAATCCTTTGGTGCAGGCGTTCCATGAACTCCAGGTTGTGCCTCATCTCCTGCATGTGTCTCATCATTTCTTTCTCGATCTGAAAGAACAGAGGTCTGGTCTCTGGCCACAGACTGCGCACTGGCCAGTGGAAGTCCATGAATGGGCTGAGGTGAGGCTGAAAAGTGCTTGGGCAAAGCATCTTTGGTGGATTTTCGTGGTGCTGTGTTGAGCTGGTCGAGTTCTTCTGTGCTTCTGTCCCAGTGAACAAGACCTGAAGCTTTTATATGCTGCCCCGGAACATTCCAGTAATGCTCCTCTATTAGCACTGCAGTGTGTGTCAGCCTGTCGAAGAGCTGCTATGACTGAGCACTTGCTGTCATGTTCCAGAACAAGTCAGCTGTATTTTTGTGATCCATCTGTTAAATACCAGAGATGTACATCATTGTTCTATTTCCAGTGACCACTCTGGCGCTCTAATGGGTCTGCATAACTTTCTATTAAGGGAAGAGGGTAATGCGAGAGGATGATACAAGGTTTTCCTAGCATATAGCAACATAACATATTAAAAATAAAAAAACTAATCATGGTTACTGTGAGAAATAGTCTAGTTCAAAGTCACATCAGAGCATATTTTCTTTGTGTGTCAGAACTTTCTTCATATTCTGTCTGCTGTGTTTAAATTTAACATACAAGTGTTCCAACACGCTTTCTAATCCTGCAGGTTTCTGAAACTCACACCTGTGTTGGCAGTGCCTCTGGCCACTTCACCTCCTCAAATACATTCAAAAGGAAGGAACAAGTTTAGCTCACTCAGGTGGAGACCTAGTATCTGTGGATATAAATAAAAAATGTATCATCACTGATATCAAGTATGTTGGAATTCATCTTTAGTAGCCTATAACCACAATCTGTCATGTCTAAAATTTTGTAATTATAGTTTGGTTTCAAAGGTTTGGACAGTTACGGACAACATAATAGAACGTCATCACTGGAATTAAAAAACATGCAGGACCAATCTAATTTTTATATTATTTTTTATTCTCTTTAAACACATCGTTCTGTTACATGTTCTTAAAACATTTCAGCCGAATATTAATTATAAATGTTAATTAGATGTGTTCAATTCCTGTCTAGCGATGTGTGTTTATGTTGAAATGTACTAAAAAAGGTTTGTCTTTTCAAATCTTCTATCACGCGTCATTATATTTATCGAGTTGGCTCGTGTGGTTTATGTTTCACTCTTCAGAAATGTGACGTTATTTCCGGTAAGGGAGCATAGTGAGCGCCGATGCTCCCTAGTTTTTGCGGTGCGTTGTGGGATTGTTCAGGGAGCGAACGATCCAGTGCACTGGAAGGATTTCGCGATTGGAAATCCTCCCTTAAATGGCCGACTCCCTGATCAGTGCCCTGACTACTGAACAAGGGAGCTGTTTGAGACGCACCCTAAATCTAAATCATCTAGCCTACAACTTCTACTAACTAACTAACTAAATAAATAAAAACTGACTGACTGTATGGAATAATTATAGCCTACTTTAAAATAATATTTAAGTGAACTGGTTATTAAAGGGTGAATAAAAATAATAATAAACAAAGAGATAGATAGGAAGAGCAAGAGCGCATTTACAAACAGCTTTCTGAAGGTCTGTAACCCCTATCTCTCTCTATACACATTATTCTACAATATAACAAGAATAAAATATAACAAAATGTATCACATGATGTTGCAAAAACCCTGTTCCACCTGTCTTTTGTCTCAATATGGACATTTTATATTAAACAATAGAGGGTAGATACAGTAATGTTGAAATGGCGTCTGGTGAAATAAATTAGTCCCTTTTTTATTTTGTGATATATTAACAGCATCTCATGATGTAGCAGATTTCACCTATGTGAAGTTTAACTTGGGGTTTGAAGATATTCAATTGAAAAAAGTCACAAAAGTTGATGGACGTGTGTGTACACTGTAGCCTACCGAGCAGATCGGAGTAAGACTTTCTCTCCTGAAGAGATCCGTTCAAACATGGTTCCTCCCGTTCAAGTCTCCCCGCTTATCAAGGTACAGCTTCTATTAGGAATATGACTCAAATTGTGTTTTATATTCAGAAACATGCTCTATGCTTGTTAGTTTATATGAGCGACCTTCATTTATCCTCAGCAAATAGCTCGTTATACGTTGCTAGCGCTAATGCCTAGCATAGCCGGTGTATGAGCTAATGGTGTTAGCCTGCTAGCCTGTCCACAGCACTGCAAGGTCAGTACGTTATGGGTAACGTTACATGATGTGTTGCATAGAAAACAACGAATGACCTGTCAAATGTGAATAAGGATTATTGACTAAACTTGTACATTGTCCTGTGGTAGGGTAGGGTGAATTTATAAAAGTATAACTAGTCCCTGTAGTCTCTAAATTAAAATGGTCACACAGTGTATACTTACTAAGTTATATAAAAGCTGTATATTTGAAAACTACTCTCTCTTTTTTTTTTTTATCTCCACAGCAAACTCTGACACCATTCTGAAGTAAATCTCCATGATGTATCCATTCCAGCACCAAATGAAATGAATCATAATAAACCTTTTTTTATTTTCAATAAAGACAGAAGGTAAAAATTTTCTTGCGTGTTTTATTTTTCCTCATTGCCATTATTCAGGGAATTCAGATTATATGCATCGAAGGGATGTCTGCATACCTTTCCAGCAAGAAAAGAACATTAATTATTAATGTTATAAAATTATATTTATATGCTCTATGTGCATCTGACAAACCAAGATCATTCTCTGAGAATGTGTTGTAGACTGTTTTGTCTTTTCTCCAATGCCGTGGTGATGTTTATAGAGGGAGGACGGTTGTATAACCCCACCATGGTTTAGCATAAATCCCAGGATTTAGGTCAAGCCAATACAGCACAAGTGCTGATTTTGCACAAATGCATTGCAGCTACTTAGCTGCGGTGCTACACTTCATTAACTATTTTAATAAGCGAGATACATTTTTGTTTTGAATCTCTGCTTTCCTTCATTTATACACAACACTTTTTCAGAGTTTATCTAAAAACCCCAAACTGTCCTGACTTTTACAGAGACAAATACTGGAAGTCTTGTAAGAATATTGTCAGAGGATTTATTGGGAAATGGAATGTGTAGGGATGTTCAGATAATCTTTGCAGACCTAGTTATCTTGGAAGGGAAGGGTGGAAACTGCTGATAGTTCTCATGGATAAGAGGCTTTCTTATCGAGTGACTCATTGAGCAGATGTGTGAAGAGAATCAAATCCTTTGTAGTTTTGAAGAGTCCCAAATTAATATTGTTATTGCTTTAATACACTTTTTGAAAGAAGTCTCTTCTGCTCACCAAGGCTGCGTTTATTTGATCCAAAATACAGTAAAAACTGTAATAGTGTAAAATACCTGCTTAATCATTTGAATATATTTTAAACTGTAATTTATTCCAGTGATGACAAAGCTGAATTTTCAGCAGCCATTACTCCAGTCTTCAGTGTCGCATGATCCTTCAGAAATCATTCTAATATGCTGATTTGGTGCTCAAGAAACCATTTTTATTATCAGTTTGAGAACAGTTCTTAATATTTTTTTGAAAGCATGATTTTTTTCTCTCTCGCAGGATTCTTTGATAAATGGAATATATAAAATAACATCATTTATCTGAAATAGTCAATCTAAATACTAAGAAACACACAAAGTACATAAAAATATATGCTTTAATTGTCATGGTATCGAGCATACAGAAGTGAAGCTTAACATGTTTACCGATTTAATTGGAATCACCCATATTTGATGCTGTATTTTTGATGGTTTGAGAGCATCTTTAATGATGAATCAAAATAAGCAAGTTCATGTCAAAAATGATGAATCTTTCTCTGCAAGTAAATCACATTTGTGTCAAATTCAAAAAGTCTTATTACTGGGCCCTCACTGTCAGATCTGACACATTGATTTAAACATAAATTTTCTTTGCTACTGCCTGGTCCTTCACTACTTAAACCTTTATGATATGTGAAACAGAAGCAGCAGCTTTGTATAATAAGCTTGTAAAATTCATTAAGTGCACTAAAACACACCTTCGTAGTATTTACTTTAACACTATTTAAAATCGTACCTCATAAAATGTAAAAATAATTTCGTATATTTACACAATTAGATTCACAACTGATGTTTTTACGATGTTTCATAGACAACCAGTGAAGGAGAGACTTAAGAAGAAAGTCAGGCATAAGAAGAACAAAATTGCCTGAATCAGAATACCTTCATGAATTTAATCACAGACTTCTCAAAGTTGAGTGTGATGACAGGTCAGCTGAGAACTGATGAATGGTATCAAGGCCACTGGAATTAGTTTTCTCTTTGAACGCATGTCCCAGCAGCGGAGACACTGAGTAATGGGACATTGCTCAGTAAAACACAGCCATGACAGCACTTGATGTAAATAAGTCTGAAGGACAATTGCGCGTTACCTGTCAGCTTAAGTGAAGGAAACAGTGTCAAACTATAAAAAACAACTATAACTTTATACTCAATCTTTCTACCTTCTAACTACGATACTCTGCCATCTAGCTTACCAGAAGCTATATTTTGTTGCACACTAAAGTCTGTCACCTACCTTCTCACATTTAGCGACCTGGGGTGCGTTTCCCAAAAGCATCGTTAGCTAACTATGGTCGTTAATTCCATTGAACTCGATTGGTAACGACGGAACATGCGACCATAGTTGCTTTTGGGAAACGCACCCCTGAATAGTAGCTTCCAGCTGTACAATGTGATTATTTTTAGAGGGAATAAATGGCATAAAAAATACATCACTCGTATAATGGCCTTTGTTTTTTGGTATTCAGTGAAAGGTGACGACAAATTGAACATTATTACAGTTACAAAAAGAGAAAAATGTATCTTGCAATCACAACAAATTTCTGTACATATTTTATTGATTCCTTGATTGAACTTGTCATGGACCTGCTTGATATTAAATAGAAACTGATCACCTGAGTAAATAAATTAAAACATATCCAGTACAAGTATAGATTATGCTAATATCTTGGATCTGGATGATTGAATGGAAAAAAAGTGATTTAAAAAAAACCCCTACATTTTCCTGTAGTACATTTAAGTCTGCATTGTGATTAATTGAAACCGATTACCATCCAATGAAACTGCTTAAACACTGTGACCCAAAGGAAACACAGTGGAACAGTAATACTAACTGTAGGCAAGATTCAACGTGTGTTTTGGTTAGCAGATGGTCTTGTGGCTTGGTGATAGCATATAATGCATTGATAGCGTTTTCCCACTCACTCTTGATCAGATCCTTGGGGATCCTAAGGGTGAGGTTGATCTCCCCGTGTGACGTACTATTTAGAGGCTAGGTTGTATCTCGAGCTGCC